GAGAATGATGCGATTTTTTTAAAGGCTCTTTAAATAGTCCATGTTCAAGGAGGGTAGCATTTGATTTACTTTTGTATTGTGGGGCTGTTGGAGCCATGGATTCATTACAGTTGGATAATTTCCATCTATCACAGGAAGCTGACCCAGCTCCTTGCTCATACTCTGCTCATGAATTAGCGACTTTGGTCCAAAAGGCCCGGAAATCATACTGAATTTCACTGCACACCGGATACAGATATCAAAAAAGATCCAAGTAATAAATGCTTCGTGAAAATTAATTAGGCTTAATGTTAATGAGATTGTACCTCATTCCTTTCCTCTGCAGAAGAATGATGGCAGATTTACGGTCATTCAGCTGGTGGGCATGCTTCGTGGCATTGGGTCTGGGATGAAGTATTTATCTGATATGAGCTATGTCCATCGAGACCTGGCTGCACGGAACATTCTGGTCAATAGCAACTTGGTCTGCAAAGTGTCTGATTTTGGCATGTCGCGAGTGCTTGAGGATGATCCGGAAGCAGCATATACCACCAGGGTAAGAAGGGTTTGTGACCTTTGAGCTTTGACTCTAATGAAACTGTTCCTCTCACTTGATGTTTAAGCCCTTTATGATATTTATAAGTTACTTCATCCTGCAGAGCCTCTTCATAGCCTTGCATCCATTTTAAAACCATGTTTCCAAGAGAAATTTTGAAATATGCTCTAGATGTATGATCACAATTTAGAGCATCACATTATTGTATTTTTTCACACTTAATCTACTTTGCTTCCTTCCTTTCTTCCAGTTAGTTTGTTTTAGATTTTATACTTGGTTCCTTTTCATTATTTAAAAAAAATCTTATTTTAAACAAGACAGAACAGTGTTCTAGTCAGCTGCCTACCGAATCTGAGAATGTATACACAGGATTTATAAAACATTTACACTACACAAGGTTTCCCAGTATCTAATGGCCTGCATTTTACTACTAGTAGATAAGCCGGGATTAAGGCATGGTGAAGAGTTATCAGTATACAGTTAATGGCTTTGCTATCTTAGCTGGACAATCTGAATATAAGATACTAATGGAATAAACACAGAATCATAAAAGTTATTGGCCATTAGGGCTGACACTGTTAAAATCAACATGAAGCAGACCAGCCATTTTCCTCCTTTAATGTTAACCATTTTGCATCTGTAATAATAAGCATTGGGGGGTTTTTTGGTATAGTTGGGGGGGGTATGCATGCATGTTTTCTGGTAGTGTTCTGTTTCTGTGGCTGCAGTTTTGATTCTTACACATACCTTCTCCAAAATTCTAAGTCCATTCATTCAGGAAAGAATACACCTTTGCCAATGCTAAAGACTTTTTATTTCCCCCCAGTAGTTGGAGAAAGGAAAGCAGAAAGAAGCTTCTCGAATAATACTTTTATATAGCCAAAATATTTAAGGAAAGCAGCATAAGTGTCTCATTGCATGGAACAAGCATAAATGTAATACAGTGTAAAGTATAGTGAATCAATGAAATTTATGGTACAGTTTATTGCCCTCTTTAGTAGCCCTAATGAAGCAAAGAAGACTTTTAAATGATGTCCTCTTGAACAGTTTAAGGGTCTGAATTAAAGCTGAATTAATTTCCCTAGATGGAACCCTAAGAAATTTGAAACTCCATTAAAAATACCTTGCACATAAGCATAATCAACAGGAGACATTTGAGACCTTTAAACTTTTGGGGGGTAATATTCAATTGCTTTACCATTTTTGCAGGTGTCTTTTTAGAAAATTAAATAATCAAAATCCTGCCCTCCCTCCATTAAAATCAGTAATGGCTTTAGCATCTGGTACTATTTGACTTCCTCTAAGAGTCTGTTCAGTGTATTATCTTCTAGCTAAGTTAGGCATATTTCTCATGTTCTGTAAGAGTTGGAACATATATATGTGGAGTATGTAGAAATATTCATATTTAACTTCCTTAGTTCATGATTTCTGAAGCAGTACTAAGTATTGGTTTTGTGCTGCTGGGTAAGAGAATCCAACAAGAAGTCAAAATTACTGTTAGTTGCACATTCATTGGTATACACCACAGATAATGTGTGTTTTGTAAAACTTAAAATGTCCTTTCTACTACAGTATTGCCTTAAGCAGAGCCCAGGAAATAGGTTGGCTTTTTAAAAAATAATTAAGGAGATTAGTTGTTTACTTCCCCATAACCTATGAAAACATATCAGAACTGTCTCAACCTGGAACATTTTAGATAACAAGTATCTTGTGATTGTTTGGAAAAATATCTCAGTAATGCTGTTGTCCTGCTTGACCCACAGTAATAACATTCAGAAACTAACATTTAGAAACTAAAAGGGCAGGTCAGTGTACTTGGAGAATAATCTAGAGCTTGGATGTTCACAGGGTGGCAAGATTCCCATCCGGTGGACTGCACCAGAAGCAATCGCCTATCGTAAATTCACATCTGCAAGTGATGTATGGAGCTACGGGATCGTTATGTGGGAAGTGATGTCCTATGGAGAGAGACCTTATTGGGACATGTCCAATCAAGATGTGAGTCTTTATGTTCTGAAATATATGTTTTTTGAGATGCAGGAAGTTTCATGTTACTGTATGATGGAGTAAGTGTTGAGTGTGAAATGATACGTTAAACTTCAGGGTCTTAATACAAATGTGTCTAGTAGGCTAGCTAAAACTTACGGTCATTGATTTCAAGGACCAAAACTACAAAGCCGAAACAGTACAATGTGGGAGATATATTGATAGATGGATGCATAGCTCAGCTGATTGGTGATATGGAGCAGTATCTTTACTTGGTTAGCTTTCAAGTTCATACTGAAACAAAATTAAACTTTGAATGTTAAGAAAATGCAGGGATATATGAAAAACACATTTCACATGCAGTGAAATTGACATGAAAGTTGTATTGGAAGAAATCTAGTGAATATTTTAAAGCCGGCAAAGTTGTAATTAGAGCTTGCCCTTGAGGACTCTAAAATAAAGCTTCACTAAATGACCCTTTGTAAATTATGCACATCCCTTTAAATGTACCATCTGGACTACTTCGTATGGGAGTATCCACAATGCCTGCAATTTTAGAAAAGCATTCAATAATGACACTAATAAGATTCCAGAGTAATAGAATTTAATTATAAACATCTCCAGTGAGAAAGAAAAAAAAAAAAACAAAAACCTAGACCAGGGAGTCTTCTTAGGACACTCTAGCTATTTCTAGGAAAGTGTTAGTTCCAGAAGGGTTGGAAATCAGAATAAAATAAAATGGTCATTTTTAAAACTTTCCTAATATTTTCAGGTGAGGTGAAATATTAGCATCTAGCATGTTTACAAATGGTTGATACTCAATTCATCAATAAAAACTATTTTAGAAAAAGTGTTGTTGTTGTTTTTTTAATTTTCTTTGAAGTGGAATGTTACCTGACCATTTGCCTTGTCCTGAAACAACAGGATGTTGCAAAACCTTGACAATTAAGTGAAAAACTAGGTGCACTCAAGAAATAGGATGCTGGTTGCTTAATCAGTAGAAGAATGTTTAGAGCAATACAGAAGCTAAGGTATTTGCCCACTGTGTCCAGTGGGGCAAAAAGAATTCTCTGACCAGGTTAAGAGGAATGGTAATGTTGACATTGGAGTACCTATAAATTATAAAGGAAGGTTCATAACAAATAGGAAGGGAGACAGCAGCTAGCATAACTGATAGATAATTACAGACTGGAGATTGACTCACTTCAGTTCAGTTCAGTCACTCAGTCGTGTCTGACTTGTTGTGACCCTGTGGGCTGCAGCAGGCCAGGCTTCCCTGTCCATCACCACCTCCCAGAGCTTGCTCAAATTCATGTCCATAGAGTCAGTGATGCCATTCAACCATCTCATCCTCTGTTGTCCCCTTCTCCTGCCTTCAATCTTTCCCAGCATCAGGGTCTTTTCCAGTGAGTCAGTTCCTCACATCAGGTGGCCAAACTATCGGAGCTTCAGCATCAGTCCTTCCAATGAACATTCAGGACTGATTTCCTTTAGCATCGAATGATTTGATCTCCTTGCAGTCCAAGGGACTCTAAGAGTCTTCTCCAACACCAAAGTTCAAAAGCATCAGTTCTTGGGCTCTCAGCTTTCTTTATAGTCCAGCTCTCACAGAGACGGACTACAGAAGTGAGCAGTGTGTAATCTACTGTTTGATGTGATTGTGAAGACACCTTCAACTACCTTTCTTGTAGTAACGTTTGGTTTTGAGTAAGAGATATGCAGAGAAACAAAGGCCAACAACCTACAAGAGGGAGTTTGTTGTTTAGTCACTAAGTTGTGTCTGACTGTTGTAGCCCATGGATTGTAGCCCACCAGGCTCTTCTGTCCATGGGATGTCCCAGGCAAGAATACTAGAGTAAGTTGCCATTTCTGTCTCAAGGGGATCTTCCCAACCCAGGGAATTAATCTACATCTCCTGCATTGGGAGGTGGATTCTTTGCTACTGAGCCACCAGAGAAACCCTCAAAGAAGGAATAGTGTCTGTATTTACTTATTTAATTATTGTATATTTAAGCTTGTCTTTATTTCAGTTGAGACCAGCAGCCAAGTGCTCATAAAAGCAGAATATCTAAAGATGTCTTTTTTTCCCACCCTAAATAAATATTTTCAGACTTAGTTTTGACAGTTTCTATATTATCTTAAAACAATTTCATTGTTTTAAACTTTTAGTTGTCTGCCTTTATCCATGTAAAAGCATCTGAAGCCAATTCACCCCCACAAATATTATTGATCTATTATTCACATGTATTTCTCTCTGTGTTGGAGTCTGTGTAGAACAGCAATCAATAGGAAATGTAACTGGAGAATTACTTTCATGGGAAAATTCATTTGGCATATGGTGAATGGAGTCAAAGTAACTGTTAAAAATATGTTAAATTTATCAAGTTTTTCATCAAGTTTGTTTTAATTGTCTCTCTTCCCCCACCCCACCCCCCCAGCCCCAGACATTTAGCAGTAAACTGAGAAAATATGCTTTGTTCACCCACAAGCCATCTCCCAAGCTGGCAGTGGATAGGGAACTAGTGAAAGAATACTAAGCAGTTTGAGGGTTTATAACAAATTGTGTTCACCTGGCGTCAGCCCAGTGTTGCTCACATTCCCATCAATTCAATGTAAAATGTTTTCATCAAGTCTAGAGTCAACACCATGCACCTGGAAAGATCAAAGAAAGTCAAAGGATCAAACTGACCTAATATCATTGCCAGAAATAAATAGAAGCATGTTCAGTAAATTAGCATATAGAAGTCTGCTTTCGAAGGAGTAAATTAATATTAATATGGTAGGAGGTTGGCAAAAATACATGGGAGAAAAGGATTCAGAGGGCTTAATAAATCACAAGATAATTGTTACACAGAAACAGTATCCTGGTTAAAAAGAACCACAGAATACTGCTGCATAGAAACTGGACCCAACTGAATTGATTGTTTTCTGTTGAAGGCTGATCACTGACGCACCATGAAGGGAACTCTGTCCTGATCATTGAGGTGGCTGCAGCCAGTGGTGGTCTCACTAGGAACTACCGTTTTTTGGGGGGGAGGGTGGGGAGGGTGGGAGGACTGATTTAAAAACAAACAAAACTTTTAAACATCCTCAAACAAAAGTACCTCCAGAATCATACAGGATACTCATAAACAAAGCTTATGAGTAGCCAAAAAATTAAGAAGTAATTCCCCTCTTTAACTTTGGCAGGAGGCTTACCATATTGTTACTGGGATTCACACCCTGAAGAACAGGGGTTTAGAGAAAAGTCGATGAGAAATATATTGTTTTATCTGTGAAGACAATTAGAAAAGTCATGGAATGACTTGTCTCATTAGGCAGGAGGACCACTCTGGATGGCAATTATAGCTGCCTTCCTTAGATGTGTCAGGGTCCCTTTAAAATATAAATCCCACAAAGAAGGTTTTTTAAATTATTGTTTTTAGATTTTTTAATCTAGCTATTAGTACCTTAGCAGGATCAGCTGAGACCAAGAAAGAGACACAGAATTCATAAACTATGTATTTTGTTCTTCCAAAAGTAAAAATGGTGGGGCATCTGGAGGGGTTGAGGAATGTGCTAATTCAGAGAGGTAGTGTCTCCTGAACTGAAAGATGGGCTCTGGTATTGACCCATCAGCTGTCTAATCAAGAGTACACAGACTTGGGACTTCCCTCATGGTCCAGTGGTTAAGATATGCTTCAAGGGGTGTGGGTTCCATCCCCGGTCAGGGAACTAAGATTCTGTATCATATGCAGTGTGGCCAAAAAAATAAACTAAAAGAGGACACAGGCTTAAAGTGACACAAAAGGACTTGCATTTTGGAGGCATCCTAAGGAATGTCTTTAAAGCCTTTAAGCTAAAATCTCTTTTGCTAAGAGCGTTTAGCTGGTAGAAGAACAGAGAAGATCATCACCCTTTGGTCTCTGGGGGCCAGGCCAACACCATGTGGTTGGTCTGATTGGGTTCTAACCACCTTGGAACCCTGATGCATCTTCACATTGGAGTTCCTGATGGGCATCGTCTGCCATTTGAGAACCCCTCATAGCAAGGCTGGCTTCCCTGCCCTGCTGCCAGCAATACTCAGGTCCAGCTCTGGCTTCTGTGAAAGAATTGGAGCCATTCCCATGCTCAAGCTTGCTGGCAGCTTAATGGACAGGGAACTTGCTGAGCAGGAGGGTAAACCTCTAACAACAGATTGCCTGGCAAACTAACATAGCATTCTGTGGGGTTTTTTGTTTTTTTTGTTTTTTTTGCTAGGTGATTAAAGCCATCGAAGAAGGCTATCGGCTGCCCCCTCCAATGGACTGTCCCATCGCGCTCCACCAGCTGATGCTAGACTGCTGGCAGAAGGAGAGGAGCGACAGGCCGAAATTTGGGCAGATTGTCAACATGTTGGACAAACTCATCCGCAATCCCAACAGCTTGAAGAGGACAGGGAGCGAGAGCTCCAGGTCAGCCCTGCTTCTTAATAGTGATGTGTGAAAGAATACTTCAGAGGTGGCACGCAAGTGGTAACTCACTTTAATTTCTGGCTTTTAGTCAGAGGCCACGGCACAGCCGTCTGCAACGTGGGTGGCTTCTTCCTCCTTGAGCGGAGTATTTATGGTAGTTTTCTGTTTGCCATTTTGAAGAGCCTTGTACCTGTCAGGCCTCAAACAAAAGTCAGAGAAACAAATTTTTTACAAGAACAACCAAGGAAAAGCTCAAGTGCTTATTTTGTGAGGCTGGAACTGAAAACTTAGAGGGATGAAATGTACTTTTGGAAGATAGTCAGGCTACTAGATGCTATATTTTGAAAGGGGAAGAAACATAAGGGACAAAAAATAAGGATTCCAAGACAGCTCTAAGTTGAGTTAATAAAATGTGAATTGAGGCAAGAGATTCACCGGTTTTGGTTCTTAAAGTTGCTCTTTTCTGAGTCTTTCAAGAGGAGAAGGAAACAGGATCAAGTTACAAACATGCAAATGAATATTTGAGAAAAGTTTTAAAAATTAAAATTATTGAACCACCTATACAATAGTTACTTCATTGGAAGGGTCTTCCCTGGTGACTCAGAGGTAAAGAATCCACCTGCAGTGCAGGGCCGCACAAGATACAAGTTCGATCCCTGTGTCAGGAAGATCCCCTAGAGGAGGGCATGGCAACCTACTCCAGTGTTCTTGGCTGGAGAGTCTCGAGGACAGAGGAGCCTGGCAGACTACAGTCCATAGGATGGCAAAGAGTCAGACCCGATTAAAGCAACTTAACACACAAATATACACTTTACTGGAAAGAGCAAAAAAGAAGCATTTCAGTCCAGAGAGAAGATAAAGATACTGCAAGTGACCTAAAATAAAATCTCCCATCATTTCTGGCCTATTTTTGGTTCTTCTCTTCCCCAAGAGAATGAAAATAGATGGCGCTAAGACCTCTTTTCCAGGTGTAGCTCGTTTCTTCCATTCCTAGGTAAACCTCCCCCAACTTTTAGATCTCCAGCTCCCGATCCATTTTGTCTGATGGTGAAAGTCCAGTTCTTTGGCACTTGAGTTTCCTGGTAGCGGAAACTTTTTCGCTGCTAACTCTGCATAATGAGTGCTTTGCACCAAAGGGCAGAACAAATTGGGTTATTGGATACACTTTTCTCACTTCTGAATTTTTTCTCGTTGATAGTACTTACAGAGCTTGGATGCGTCTTACTGCTTGCTGATAATGGGATGTAGTATAGCGTGGAATGTGATTCAGCACAAAATTAGGCAAATGTCATGGTGTTCCACAAAGAGCACAGAGGCTTCCAGAACAAGCTTGAGAATGACCCTTAGGATTAATTAATACTGAGTAAGGATAGTTTCATTCTCAGGTCATTTTAACCTTGTCAAGCACCTAGTGCCTCCGTGTGCTCTTCTGCTGCCCTTGGTTAAAGTTAGAAGTAAATGCAAACTGGTTTTTTTTGTTGTTCATTAACAAACATTCCTGGTAAACATTCAACACTAATGTCTCAAACTCTGTGTGGCCATATTTGTTACTGGCTCAAAATTGGGGAAAGAATGAAATCTTGATTATTCTTACCATAAAAATCTGCAGAATATTACTTGGAAAATTTGATTTAATTAATATAGTGGACAAAGAGAAAGGTCATAAACAAGCTATTATTTGGACAGAACTGTTGATAAAACAAGTTTTTGTTAATATACTTATATAAAATAGAAGTTATGCAAGTCAAAACAACTTAGGTAAAAATTAAAATGAAAAATGGATTGGATTAATTCTACTATGTAGAAAGTTAGACCATTAGATAGGCTTGATTTTTTTTTTTTAACAAGAAAACGATTTTTTTGGGTTGAAAATTCAAGATGATAATATAATTCTGATTTAGATGTTCATGTTCAAGGAACATAGTCACAGGATGAAAATCAGATCAAAATGTTAAGAGCAACCACATTCTGTAATTTCTATGGAAAGCAAGTTTAAGAAAATAGAATTTAATAAGTAGCAAGGTTGCTATGCAGGTAATTATAGTGAAGGTGTATAAAATACCCTATTAATGTTTATCCTATGATTATTAAGTAGTTTGATGATCAAGATGACTATAATTCACTTAATAAATATTTTTCATGAATAGGTTATTTATTATTTATCAATATCGTGAAGGGTGACAGATCACTTACCTTGAACTCTAGTTGTTCTTGGTGGTGATCTAATGTAAAACACCTGGCCTGAGAAATGCATCAACTAATAAATAAGTTAATAAGAAGTGCTTAGAATTTGTTGAAATGATTCTTTAGGAGCCCCAGCAAAGGAAGACGAGAAGCACATTCCACAATCCAAACAGTGATCAAAGTGGCCATTCTTCCTGCCAGTCTTGGCACACGTGCTGGTCAGGCTGGGTTGATTAAAGAGGGGATTAACTCCCTGCTGTCCCGTTTGTTTGAATGAACTGAGCCTGCCTGCAAACCTGGCTGGAACCATGCCGGACTTGAACTCTCACTGTTCTCTCTGCTTCCATCAAGTCTGGCAGGTTGCAAGCTCTCAGTTTTCCTTACTTATCCTTCACTAAGGTTTCCATAGCTGCTGAACTAAAGTCTGTGATATTCTGTCCTGGCAGGGACTGTCTTTCTGCAAAGACTGAGCCAGTTTCAGCAATAAGGACGGCCCCCACCCCACCATCCCCCAACCTTTGCCCCAGGCTAGGTTGTTAAAAGACCTGCTCTGATCCTTAATGCATTAAGAGGTCCACATAAAACAAATGCAGTAAATGAAGTTAAAAACAAGTAGGGTGATGGAGACATGCTTTTGCAGCTTTATGAAATTAGGGTTGAAAAATCACATGATGACATTGATTGCTGGTGTTTCTATCTAAAGTCCATTTTTGATACTTTGATTCCCCTCCTCTGCCTTGGACCATCTGACTTCTGAGTCATGCTATCTCACTGATAATTCTTGTCTGTCTATACTTTCTCATTCCATTTCCAGACCTAACACTGCCTTGCTGGATCCAAGTTCCCCTGAGTTCTCCGCCGTGGTATCAGTAGGCGATTGGCTCCAAGCCATTAAAATGGACCGATATAAGGATAACTTCACTGCTGCTGGCTATACCACGCTAGAGGCTGTAGTGCACATGAACCAGGAGTAAGTACTCAGCGATGTAACACAAAGGGTAAATCTAGATTTAATAGTATTTTCCTTTTCTTTTTTTTTTTTGCTTTGAGCTGCATAATCATCCTACTCATTTTTTTTTTTAAAGAAAACTGGAATGCCTTTCATTTTGATTGATTGAGTGTAATTTTGCACAGTCTCTATAAAGCACCTACATTGTTGCATTCAATTGCTTAATTAAACATTTTAATACACCTGCCTTGTTGTGCTGTATTAATTGTGGCTGATTCAAATGTGTGTCTGCATGAAGCCCGGAAGAGATTCTCAGCCCTCATCATATTTTCCTCTCCCGCTTTTTTTCTCTCCCTACTTGCAGTGACCTGGCCAGGATTGGCATCACAGCTGTCACACACCAGAATAAGGTCTTGAGCAGCGTCCAGGCAATGAGAACCCAAATGCAGCAGATACACGGCAGAATGGTTCCAGTCTGAGCCAGTATTGAATAAACTCAAAACTCTTGAAATTAGTTTACCTCATCCATGCACTTTAATTGAAGAACTGCACTTTTTTTACTTCGTCTTCGCCCTCTGAAATTAAAGGAAAAAAAAAAAAAATCTGCAGCGTTGCTTGGTGTACAGATTGCTGAAACCGTGGGGCTTACAGAAATGACAACCGTCATTTGAATTAGACTTGGAACAAATTGTTTCTCAGAAGTACATCCGTCCATCACTAATCTGTAAAATACGTGTACCTATATAAATAGACCACCGCCTCCGAGTTTCGATGCCGTATTTGCTGCCAGACGCTGAGCTTCTCTGAGACATCCTCGATCGTCTCTTCATTTGGAATTACAACCGTAGTATTTTGTTTGTGGCATAAACTACAGTCCATCCTTCTTTCACTGGAATGAAGACCGTGCCCAGGACCATTTTTTAAAGGACCCAGTTATAACTTTTAAGGCTTGGTTTACTTTTAAGGCTTGGTTCGTACAGTGGATAAAACCTAAGTGAACGTCACGTGGTTCATCAGTGTTGCCGCCCTGTGCTCCAATCACCTGGTGGGTTATGACGACATGAGGGGCCGGAGAGAAAAGGAAAGTGGATTTTAAAATAATAATAGTAATAATAAATCCCAAACACCCCCTTTCTGGGCAAACAAGGGACTTTGGGACCGAGGCTGTGCCATATAAGTCTTATTTGGGAACTCTACAAACTTATCGTAACTACCTTATGGATAGTGGATTGTGACAATCTTGTGTAGGCAACTTTCATACTTTCTTCCTTTAAAGAAGCAAGCCCAAATCTACAAGGTAAGACAAAAGAACCAGCAATGAGTCTTTCTCCAGTGAAAGTGTTTTTTCACTTTATCTTATCTGAAACACTGAGCAGTAAATATCTATCATGACTATCAGGTAGTTTGGGTTGAGATTTCAATGGGAGAGGAAACCCAAAGTAATATGGCTTCTCTCCTGTTCTTCCAGGAAGAAGTGAAATAGAAACCATACGAGGTCAGGACAGCATCTAGACCTCCACTGGCTGTGCTTTTTTTTCACACTGTGAGGGTCCTCTTGCCCTTTGGTGCCACAGATGGTTATTGAGCATCTTTTGGGTACTGGGTAATAACCTCTAACCTTATTGGGCCTGCATGTTTTCCATTTTCTGGAGAATTTTTTTTCAGTTGAGGAGTTTTGGAAGGTCTTTTCCATTGGTTTCATTTCCTGGGTTGTTTTTTTTTTTTTTTTTTTTTTTTTTTTTGAGTATTTGATAGGCACCATGACCTTTTTAAAATTTAATTTTTTAAAAAATTTTAGGTTGGAGTATAGTTGATTTACAATGTTGTATTAGTTTCAGATATACTGAAAAATGATCTAGTTATGCATATACATGTGTCCATCTTTTTTCAGATTCTTTTCCATTATGGTTTGTCAGAGGATGATCAATATAATTCCTTGTGCTATATAGTAGGTCTTCACTGGTTATCTATTTTATATATGCATACATGCTCAGTTACTCAGTCGTGTCGGACTCTAAGCAACCTCATGGATTAGTCTGCCAGGCTCCTCTGTCCCTGGAATTTTCCAGGCAAGAATACTGGAGTGGGTTGCCATTTCCTCATCCAGGGGATCTTCCTGACCCAAAGATCAAACCTGAGTCTCCTGTGTCTCCTGCATTGGCAAGCAGATTCTTTACCACTAAGCCACCTGGATAGTACTATGTATATGTTAATTCCAAATTCCTAATGTATCCTTTCCCCACATTTTCCCTTTGGTAACCATTAACTTGTTTACGAAGTCTGTGAGTCTGTTTCTGTTTTGTAAATAAGTTCATTTGTATCATTAATTTTAGATTCTATATATAAGTGATATCATATGATATGTGTCATATTTTAGATTCCACATATAAGTGACATCATATGGTATTTTTCTTTCTCTAACTTCATAGTATGATAATCTCTAGGTCCATCCATGTTGCTGCAAATGGCATTATTTCATTTTTTTTATGGCCAAATAGCATTTCATTGTATATATTTATCCATTCATCTGTCAATGGACCTTTAGGTTGCTTCCACACCTTAGCTATTGTGACTAGTGCTGCTACGAACACTGGGGCCCACGCATCCTTTTGGAGTATGGTTTTCTCCAAATACATGCCCAGCCATGTTCCTGTCCTGCTCTAGCGCCCCTGATACCAAACTAGATGGCAACAGTGAGACTTGGAAGTCACTTTGACTGTCTCATTATTAGAAAGTAACCAACTAAAAAAATCAGACTTTTCATCCATCAAGCTCAGTAGCCTTAGGTACATCTTCTTTAATTCCAGAATTTTCTTCTTAAAACATGTGAATTTAAATGATTATGTTCATTCCTAGAAGCAAATAGCCTAATTTTTTTGCTGGACAGATTTTAACTTTCTAAACTCTTCCCTTTTATCACTTTTAAACAAGAGCTTGGTTGATTTTAATGACCTTTTTCCCCACCTTGGTTTTATCCTGAAAGCTATTTCTCATAGAGCAAGAAATGTTAAATTTGATGCTGTCAAATCATGACAGTTTAGTAAAAACCTTTTTGCAACATTAGTTGTAAAAGCTTTTCTGTTCAGAAGGAATGTAGTATTTGTTTTTTAAACTACTCCAAGAATTTTTGTTTTATCACCACTTTTGCTGAAGTTTAGGAGTTCTGGATATTCATGTTAAGAGTTGACAAATGTGAGGGAGGTCACTTGCTTTTTTAAAAAGAAATTATATATTTCTTTCCTTCTGTAAAGCTGTGGGGTACTTTGTCTTCAATTCCCATAGTCCAATTCAAATAAGGTGGCATTATAGTGTTATCCTATGAGTAATAAGAGAATGTTACCTTGCATACATTGAATAATTAAAAGTTTTGCTTTCTTACAATCAGCAGCTTAAGACTTGAGGTATTTTTCTAAACACAGTCAAAACAGAATATTTTTATTTTTTTGAACTTTTTCTTTTGTATTGAGGTATAAGTGACTAACAATATTGTGATAGTTTCAGGTGAATAGTGAAGCACCTCAGCCATACATATACATGTATCTATTCTCCCCCAAAACCCCCTCCCATCCAGGCTGCTATGTAACATTGAGTAGAGTTCCATGTGCTATACAGTTATCCATTGTTAGTTATCCATTTTAGATATAGCAGTGTGTACATGACTGTCCCATACTCCTCTAACTACCCCTTCCCTGCCGGCAACCAACCCTATGTTTCTTTTCTTAATCTGTGAGTCTCTTTCAAAGCAGAATATTTAAAAAAAAAAAAAGAGTGCCAATTCTAAAATATCCTAACACGTTAGTGTTATATACTGTGTTGGAGTGGATTTGTTACATCTCAACAGATATCTTGGCAATGTTCAGATGGGAACTGAGAGAAAAGTAGAATATGAAATTCATTCAGAGGTTGCCCTCTGAATCTTAATTTTGACACATTTGAGTCCAGGCCAATGGAAAGGCCCCAAAATGGCTAAAATAATATCCAGTAACAGTAAAAGTGGAACTGCTTTGCTTCCAGGAAGCTACCCACATTGGAAGAGAGATTGAGGACAATAGGAGTTTGTATTATTTCTCAGGGTGTGGAACCAGACGCTGGCATCCAGACAGCTTAGATTCCAAAGCCAACCGCGATGTTGACACTGGGAAGTTCACCATGTGTTTCTTTATAACTCCGTTCCTCCACCTGTAAATTAGAGATAATGACACTTCAATAGAAACACCTTTCCCAGCACATGGTGTTGTTGTATATATGTCATGCTCAGATGCAGAACACACTTAGCTTCATAGAAGAAAAGTGTATTCTTCCTCCAAGGTGTCCCAAGTGTTACCTACCTGTCTTTCACTTGTGAAGTCAAATGTTTTGTTGCGACAGGCCGAAGCAGGG